AAATGAGGTTGTGAACTGAAAGACATTGACTATTTAAAGGTGAAAAAAAGGAAAGAAAAGCACCTACAGAAATCTTTAAGTTATTAAGATACCTATCTACTTTATTTCATTTAGGTATGTAGTTAAGTTCATAAAATGGTAAACATCTGAAATGGTAAAAAACCTTGATTCTGAAATCAGGATGCAGAGTAGACATTTTGTTAAGATAATAAGTAAGTAGGTAATACCAGGAGCAAGTGCGAGGCACGGTTTTACCATGAAGTATTCCTCAAATAGAAAAGCATTATCTTGGAAAATAAACCACTACAATGTTAGTAGGCCAATGATCAGTTTTAGGGGGATAGGTACTAACTTGTACAAGGGATTTATTTACTTGGGTACCGGTACACTGGCTACTGGTACGTGAGATAGCGTGCGGTTTTTATTCAGTTCGAGTCCGACTTAACCAACGCGATTGTATACGAGGGACTTTTAAAAATAAAAAAAGGGGAATAGGTATTAAACTCTTCTCACAACTTTGTAACTGTTATTAAAATCATAACTCTATGTGACTGACATATTTTGTTTACTATTTTATAGAATGTTAATACTGAACCACACAGGAGGTGAACAGAAGAATTCGGTTGGGTTGGGCAGCATTTGGGAAGCTGCGTCGAGTCTTCTCATCGTCGATCCCACAGTGCCTTAAGACGAAAGTCTTCAATGAGTGCGTCCTACCCGTTATGACACACGGAGCCGAAGCGTAGATATTTATGGTATGGTAGGTCCACAAGTTTAAAGTCGCTCAACGTGCTATGGAAAGGGCTATGCTCGGCGTTTCTCTAAGGGATCGCATCAGGAATGAGGTGATCCGGCAGAGAACCAAGATCACCGACATAGCCTACCGGATTAGCAAGCTGAAGCGGCAGTGGGCTGGCCATATTAGCCGCAGAACCGACAACCGTTGGGGAGAATGAGTTCTTCAGTGGAGACCGCGTCTCGGCAAACTTAGTGTAGGACGCCCACAGGCCAGGTGGAGTGACGATTTGCGCAAGAGGGCTGGCTGAAGCTGAATGCGAGGAGCCCAAAAGCGATCTAAGAGGCGTGCAATGGGAGAGGCCGTTGTCCAGCCGTGGACTGCGATAGGCTGATGATCAACCACACAGTCAAATCTCTTAGAAAAAAAATGCAATCTATGTTATGCATCCAGCGCGCACATTCTAAATCTTTTAAAGACTATGTGCATTTTCCTGTGCTATTGTCTAAAAATGTAAATAATTACATCTATACTAAACTAATAATAATGAAAATAATACGGTACGGCACCTTGATAAAAACGCCGTAACCGTTATCGGTACTATGCGGTCGAAAGTTGCGTACCGAAATCTTACTTTAAAAATGTTCATTTACACATCCAATTAGTCAAAGTCAAATCAGCCAGACACCCGGATACAATATCTTAAAAAACAATAACCTAAATTTAGTTGATTAAAAATATTTTTCCATCAATGTGTAACATTCATAGACTTATAATACATAGTAGTAAATATTTTTAAGAACAGTACGTTTTTTGGTGAAAAGTTTATGTGTTTTCTCTGTATCTGTTAATATCATCATCATTATGTAATACACGTTACCAGGGAAACCCCTGGTAACGTGTATTACATAATGATGCTGATATTTAAATGAAATATACAAACAAACAAAGATTAATTTTTATTAATATAATTTTTTGCATATCTTTGCAACTGCACTTACTCACCGTTCCTTTTTAAAATAGCTTACAATTTACGCTTGCGCTCTTAATGTCTTTTACTCGATGTTTTTTACTAAGTATATTTTTGCGCCATATGATTATAACCGACAACTTTTATTTATTATATACCCCACTCGAAACAATTTGGTGTCAGAAGTGGGATAAAGGTATGCCGGTTTTAACCAAAGAAGACATGAAAGCCAGCGCCAGCAAGAGGCTGACCAGAGGCGATTTGGAGGTGCAAAACTGCCTACATTGGAGAGTCAGCAGCCAGCAATGGAAGCCACTCCGTCAACATCATCAGCAGCTCCAGATATCACGGCCATAATGATGATGCTCCAGGAGCAAGCTCGCCGTCAGGAGGAGCAGGCCCGTCGCTTGGAAGAGCAGCTGCAACGCGACAAGGAGGACAAGGTCCGCCGTCAGGAGAAGCAGATGCTTTTGTTAAGCTTTTGTGCACCTATGTTTGACCGTTTTAAAGGGTATAGACCTAGATGTTACACCTGTGGCGAAAAGGGTCAGTGCAGGTCGCAGTGGAAAATTTAATGGTAACGCAGACGCATTATCAAGAAGACCATGTCCTGAAGATTACAAGCACTGTACCAAGCAGGAGGTAAAGGTAGTTATTCCTGTAAGGACGCCAAGGACGGACCTAAGCAATGAGTGGAAGGAAAGCCTATAGCAAGCACAACAGGAGCATGTCAGACAATCAGGCCAACAGATGTCGGAGAAGATGAAAACCCGTTATGACCATGGCAAGTGAACAAATAAGGCTTCGAAGAAAGTTCGCTAGTGTGGCTACATAATCCAGTTCGCAGTAAAGGGAGATCTCCGAAGCTTCAAGCCAAATGGGATGGACCATACCGAGTGTTGACGAAAATCAATGATGTCACCTACCGGATACAGAAGTGTCCAAGAGGCGCCCCAAAGATAGTTAATGTGGATCGATTGGCGCGATATTATGTGACCGATAATGCTCGGGACGAGCATGTCTTAAGAGGGGGCAGTGTTGCGCCATAGGATTAAATGGTTCGATTGTATGAAATGCGGAGGACAGCGCCATCTAGTATCGACTAAAGTAGGTACATCTATTAAGATTGTGGTTAACAAGTAGTTCTGATACTTACTGGCGCTGCAAGTAACGCCTGACTGATTCTGGAAAATTCTTGTTGGTTTGGAACGGACTATCGAATACTACAGATTTTTCTAGAAAAATTCAAAAGCGCTATAAAAGCGGAGCGTGTTGGCCATTTGAGACAGTATCGTTTTACGACACAGCGAATTAACATCGGAGTGAATTTCTAGTGCGACTAACAAGATATACATATAGTGATTTCTAGTCTATTATATTGAGTGTTTGTAAATACAGAGAAATAAAGGAATTAACCGACAACTTTAAATAAAGGGTATATAATAAATAATTATATACCCCGCTCGTAACAATATGTTAATATGTTGATGTACATATGTATATTCATTTTTTAATAATATAAGACTACTATTTGCGGTTTGATTAGAAGAGAACTGGTATTATTCTACTTAGTCAGTTAGACTACTCTGGAGTAGAGTGGGATAAGATATCACAGACAGAGACAGACAGAGAGAGACTAAGGTTACTGTACTGGTCCTGGTCGACTTCTCGAATTCTTTTAATACCGTAAAACACGATATCCTTCTATTTATCCTTTCTTATCTCAAGGTCCGAAGAACTGGAATGGTTCTCATCTTATCTCCAGGGACGCCAGCAGTCTGTTTGTGTCGATGAATCTTAGTCGAACTGGTGTAATCTTGGCTCTGGTGTCCCCGAAGACGGTATTCTTGTTCCTAACCCTGAGACTTCCTTGTACGTATCATCTGTATGCCGATGACCTGCTCTATTCACAAAACAAGGTTGAAGATTTAACGGTACTATAATACCTGTTTGTCAATTAAGGATCTTGGCTTGCTCCTCGATTACGCACTGAATTGGCGTGATCAAATGGCAAATCTATGCCCGAGGGCTATTGGTACCCTTCCAGTGCTATATCGCCTGAAAAAATTGCTACCCGCAAAAACCTCAACCATGCTTGTGCAAACACTTATCTTCAGAATAATCGACTAAGGTGACGTGTGCTGTTATGACCTGAATGAAGATCTTCTCGATAAGTTGGACTGTGTTCTTAATAACTGCATTCGATACATCTTTAACCTCCGTAAATATGATCATGTGTCTTCTTTCCGTTCGCAGCTTAACTGATTACCCATTCGACTACGTCGTAAATTACGCGCTCTCACTTTCTTATTCACTATTCTTAATAACCCATCTTTGCCAACGTATCTAGCTTCCTACTTCCAATTCCTATGTAGTAATCATGACAGAAGACTTCGGTCCTCCAATAACCTTCTTCTTCTTCGTTGTCCCTCCCATACATCTGAGTTCAATGACTCATCCTTTTTCGTTCAGTCCGTTCTTCTTTGGAATGCGCTTCTTCTCGAAATCAGGATACCAATACTTTTTCGTTTTAAGTAAAAGTAAAGCAATATCTGGTCAAACAACTGGAGGAATCAACTTGCTCATGTTTTTTTTTTTAATACAAAATTGTTATCAGTACCTATTTGCGTGTGTATGTATGTATTTATATACTTTTATACTGTATTTATGTATTATAATGTATGTACTTATGTGTAAAATTAATATGTATAGGTGTAGTATATGACAGATTTTTATATGTATGTGTATACATTATAAGATTTTGTACAAAGTATACATACAATTTTAAATGTCTAAATCAACTGTAACTAAAATGCACCTACTTCCTGTGTTCTCTGTATCACCCAGTGGTTGACTGGTAGAGAATGCCTTAGGTATTAAGTCCGCCAATGCACCAAATGTGCATGATGTGTAAATAAATAAATAAATGTCACCATTCTATATTTTGGATAGTTTTTTTTTAAAAGACAACTCCCGCATTAGGAATATTTGTTGCCCTGTGTCGCGGGGGACTTTACAAACATACATGAAACGGACACATAGAAGACCCAGACTCAGAACAACAATTTGTGGATTACACAAACTAGTGTCCCATGTGGGGATCGAACCCACAACACTCAGCGCAGTAACAAGCGGCGTGGCGACTGCTTAAACCACTACGCCATCCGTGCAGTCAAGATGGAAAACACATTTAAAAAAATGGCCATTACTGTAATACATTAGGATCTACTTAAGCACTTTTTAAAATCATTTACAGTCTAAATAAAATTTAAATTATCAATTTTCATTTTCCAGGAGGAGGCGATACCACAGTGAATAGCAGCACAATCTCTTCACTGGAGAACATCACCAGTGGTTTTCAGCACATCAACGAATCTGAGTCCACTACAGAAACAGCTGAAGGCACCCAATTATTTGACACCACGCCGCAAACAATCCTCAACAACATTTCCGATGACATTGGCTCCTTCAATGATACAGACAGCATCACATGACGAAAACACTCGACTGGTTATATAACGAACGTGACTAAATAAACATGAATGCTTTATAGCTTCTGTTAGCTTATATATTAACAATGCAGTTGTAGTTTTGGCGTAGACTTATTATAACTAGATGAGGAAAATCTTCATCTTCGCCTTGATTTTTTATTTTAATCAAAAACTTTGGTTCGTGGTTACCATCTGATGAACCCGACAGGCAGATAAGTATAGAAGTTTGTTTGTTTTTTTTTGTACAAGTTAGTTAACAAACAAGCACAAAGTCTCGCCTCATGTGTTAATCTTTTGCTTTTGGGGTTTAAGAGATTTTTTTTTCCTCTTCTCCCTTTGAGGACACACCTATGAATATCGGGTATTTTGAGCGTTGCACACCCTTTCAACTAGAGGCAATAGGAACAACAAGGTCCATAGTGCTGCCATTTTCTATTGCGGTGTATTTTTAAATTGGCTGTAAAATAAATATTTCGAACCGCGGTTAAACAGTTATAATTCGAGATGAAGTCAGTTGAGTCGTACCTACCATTATACTTTATCGCGAAGTAAAGACAAGTCAAAATCAATGAATTTCACATACAAAGACACGAATACTTTGAAAAGACAGACACAAACTTTGAGCCTTGTCTATCCATCCATCCTTGTCTATCTATCCATTCCAAAATAGAGGGATTTTTACCACAAACATTTTGAACTAATATTTTTGGTAGTTATTCTGTGTATGTTTGTTAACTATTTACTACTGAACCTCTAAACCTTTCAAATTAAATTAGACAAAGTAGTAAACTGAAAGACAAGACACATTAAAAAAATGTAAGTTTTGATTCACGTAATTTGAGCACGATATTTTATTACTCATGTATAAACAGGCATACAAACTTTAGCAGATAACTAGGAAGTAAAATATGTATTATTAAATTACGTAAAGGACAAATAAACAGTATCTGACTCTTTTATTTTATTTAATCTTAGTATCTAGTTGTAATTGCTCTACCACTTATACAATATCGGCAGCTGTACATTTAATTACAGTATTGATCTAACCCAAAAAAGCATTATTTTTTCAATATGCTAATCAAATACTAAATACGTGCTAATAATATAAGTTTGCTTAATTTGTTACCTATTATAATAACGTGATGTAGGAAGGTTTGTAATTTATGTTCATATACCTACCTACCAATAACGTTCATATAATAAAAATGTGTATCTATGTATGTGTAATAATGTGTAATCTAGTCAAATTACAAATCACACACAGTACACTCGAAACAGTATTTATCTAATGTACCTACAGTCTTAACTTTAACTAGGCTTACATAATCTTCGCCCAAGACCATTTTTGCCAATGAGCACAATGTAGTCAAAATTCTTATATTTAATTGTCACATACCCAGGGCAAACTAACGAAGTTGTCCTGGGCCTAAGAATATTTTACAAATAACAGCCATAATTATGATATATCGTGCTCAATAGTGAACCAGGGTTCGGAGACCACATGTAATTCTATAGTAGCTTGTAATACCATTACCGCCCTATAGTAATGTAAGTAGATCTATCAAACTTTGGCGCCTATGACATCAGAAGGCTGAACGGCAACACCAATTTATTATATTTTTATAAAATTAATTACTAGGTATATTATATATTATAGATCAAAACTATTGTCTAGTTTAGTCTTCATTCTACCATACACCACAACCAACTAACAATGTGTAACAAGGCTTAGTAGTAAATATATCTTATAATGTATTTTGCTCATCTACCCATTAATGTTAAAAAAAAGAAAGAACGCAAAGAACGTCTTGCCATTGTAAATCTAATTAATTTTATTTTTATATAGCTGTTTGTTCAGACATTTGTAGAATCCTATTTTAAAAAGAGACGACTAAGGGAGCAAACTGCGCAGGACAACAGCACTGCAAAGAGAAGGAAAACTTGAAACAAACCCTATACAAACCCGTCTGGCCAGCTTGGTATAGTAGGCCAAAACCTCCTTTCTAAGGAGAGGCCTATGTCCAGCAGTGGACTGTTAAAGGCTGTTGATGATGATTTAAAAAAAAAGATTTCATATGTAGTGCAATGTCTTCTGAACTAATAAATCTAAAAGATACTTTCTCATTAATTATGAAGTTATTTTTAGTTATTTTATTCACTGAACATACTAAAAACCTGCACACAGAACAAAAACCAAGGAAACAAACCATTTTGTTTCACATCATGTACATACTAAAAAATGCCAATAAATTTAAATTTTTGATATAGTAAAAAAACTTCTGGTTATTTATTCCAAAATCTATGAGGCGATCAACGTTTTGAATTAACTAATATTTTATTTATTCATTTAGTACTTTACCTTGTCGGTTAGCAACAAAAGGTGCTTAAAGCTAGTTTATATAGCAACTTAGCACTGAATCGTCACATCGAAATAATCAAACAATAAGTTACTATTGTCTAGAAAACACTACTTTTTTAAGTTTTATTTACAATATTTGTTCATGATTGTAAATTACTACTGAACTATTTTACAGTACCTATTGTCTGTTAGTGCATTAGGTATTAATAGTATGAGTTAGATCATCATCGGACGTAGTACATAGTCCTAAATACTAGCCTGTACCAGAAATTTTCCACCTGCCTACTTATTTACGTACATAACACAAACTGTCAAGCTACTGTAAAAGGCTAACTATCTTAAGTAGGTTAGGTAATTTAGTTAGGGAATATTTAATAAATTATTTAACATATTAGTCATTGTTATTGGTGTGATTTAGAGGAACGCCTAACTTATATATTAGGTATTTAGTTTCGTACTTATTTAACTAGAATAAATATACTGTCGACACCTTTTGTGTTTTTATTTAAGTTAACCTTTTTTTACGTGTGGAAACCACCTCAGGCCGTCCCACAGTGGTTTACGCCGGGTGGTGTGTCAGAATCGCACCGACTAAAACCACTGTACCACTCTGCGCCTGTCATAGGAGAGATCCGGGAACTGCTATTGTTAAGACATCCGGACCCCTCCTAGCGCCTGCCCGCAATTGCGCGGGCACCACTTGGTACATTCTCCATTTAGGCGACGTCCGGCCAACGCGCATGCCATCTACGTCTTTAAACTTAAAACTTAAACTAAACTTTTTGACTTATTCCTTTTTATTAAAATGCAGTAGAGATTTTTTACCGCCTAAGCCTAAAAATCAAATCCAAAAAAATACTTTTATAACTAGTGAAACATTCTCTTTCATCATCAATCATCATCAACAGCCTATAACAGTCCATTGCTGGACATAGGTCTCTCATAAGAAAGGCAAAAACATTCTCTTTAATAAAATAAATTTATATTCTTATTAAAATATTATCAAAGAAGAAGATTTTGTAGTCTCATGATAATTAAACGAAAATTACTGTTTAATATAATTATATAATTACCTAATCATAAACTATAATTAATTCATATTCAAACTGAATAACTAAGAGTGATTATAACCTCTTACCTCGATAGATGTTGTGCTGCCATTTTTTTGATTCGCGATATGGTTTGGTTACTCTTGCAGGTTTAATATGGCGCTCTTATAACTTCATGTAAACTCTGCGTTTCCATTCATAACGTATAAAATTTTCACGTTTTACTAAAGATTTAAGTGAAGTGGGTAACACGTCAAAGTTTTGTAAGCATTTGGAACTTTAAATCACCATATAGCCTCAAATTTATGTCATCTTGACGTCAGTCAAATGAGAAGTACGTCAGCAACTTTCCTTCTCTATGACATCAGTTATGTCATAATGATGTCATATTCACGTCAAGTATGTTACGTAAGAATCTTACCTCGGCAGTGGGGTAATTATGAGTCATATATGACTTATATCTTACGTAAATCATGACGTGGCATGACGTCATTCTAAGATCAGTTTGACATAAAAGTGTTCACTAGGTTAGCCCCTTTGGTTATATTAACTGTAATAATATAATCTCTGATTTAAGATTTGATATTTATTTTAAATTCCAAGTATATTGTATTTCTAATTAATACTTCTATAACTACAATACCTATATATTCAACGTTTAGGTATCTTAAACATTTTACTAAAGGTAAGAAAAATTTAACGTACTAGGCAAATCATATATTCTTAACTCAACAACAGAAGTTTTATTATTCTAACCTAGTAACTTCAAACTTAAAAGATCTATTTAATTGAGAATTACCTCTGACATTTCTAAGGATTTTAGATCGATCGATCGATTTTAAAATTACATTACACAAGAACTTATTAATAGATTTTTGCCCAGGTAATTTTTGACCTTCCATCAAGCTCTTAGACTATACGTACCTACCTTAAGAGGGCGTATAAAGCAAAATTACCAATCTTATTTTTGATTTTACATGAAAAATTCCGGACCAAATCTTAAAATAAAAATGTATGAATAACTACATGATATTTCCGAGGGTTCACTTTGATCAAAAACATGAAATAATAACATTTCCTCGATAGAAAAAAATCACGAAGTAACCTCTAATTCTAATATTTTTCCGTTTTGTACTCGATATGGTAATGCCTATTGCGATAAAAATTTGATAATTAATTATACTTATACAAGAGTAAAGGCTTTGTTTAGGCATTTTATGTAATTCCTTTTAGTTTTGGATTTAGACGATAAAATCAGTTTTGGCGCATACTACGTTTTTATTCCGCGCAAGAAGTCATCGTCCGTCGCATGTTGCGGGAGCTTCAAGCATATTTCTATTTCAGACATCAGTCGCCACCGCTCCGTTGAGACGAGAGGACTGCGCTCAAGTGTTTAGGCGCGCCGAGTTATTATCAATTCAATTATTAGATTATTAGGATAGGAGGTAATAAATTAGATATATAATAAGTAGCTATTTACTTTTGCTTTTTGTTATATTATTCTTCACAATAAAAAAATCTGATCATTTTCCCCTAGTGTAATTATGATATCTTCCAAAAGTCTAGATGGACGTATGGACTACATAATGATCTTG